GGGGAGGGAAATGGGAGGCTGGGAGGAGGCGGAAACTTTTTTTTTCCTTTTCTCAATTAAAAGAAAAAAGACTCCTGAGAAGGAATGGCAGAGCTGATGATCAATCATTAAGGAAGTTAGATTACACAACAGTATCATTATGTGACCTGGAGGGAAATTTAGACAAGGCATCTACATTAGTTTTCAGGGACTAATGATGTAAAATTGGAAATATCTTATCTTACACTCTTGTTTATTAGAATTCCAGTGTTAGTATGTCAGTATATGTTTTACCTAATGGCCTAGAGATGTAGAACATTCTTCTTGTCCTCTAGAAGAGCTTTTTTGGTGTTTTATTTTTCAACATTGTCTCCATTCTATGCCTCCTTCTATTATTTTGGGTGTGTGTGTGTTTGTGTGAGAGAGAGCTTAGAGTTAGTTTGTTACAGTGGCACATTGACATAGTTAATTACAGTCATAACAAATGCTGTATCTAAGTAATTGAGTCCATAACACTATCTATGTAAGCATATGGATACTTATGATTAGTTATAAAGAATAGATGATGTTAAATAGAAATTTCATAGGAATTGGTAGGTCCAAATAGAAATTTCAAATGGTACAGAAAATTTAACATTCATTTAAGAAAGAATAATCTTTATAAGAGTGTATTTGTGTTTGCAAATGAAGGATAGCCTGTGTTCATAGGCATAAGTAAAGGTTAGTATAACTACTAGTTCATATTTTTAAGCTAAAGAATAAAAATATCAAGTGTTCATATTATTATATTAACTGGTGAACAGAAATGTAAACTTTGTCTACATAAACTTTTTGCCAGTGCTGTTGTTGTTAAAAAGAAATGTAAAAGACATCAAGGGATTGGCAGTGGGGAATCTAAGAAGTTGGTAATGGGAATACTGAATATTTGGGACATACTAGGCAGTTATTGCGAAAGAGAGAGTCTGTCATTTCTACATACACCTCAAACATGGCATGAACAGTTGGCTTTGGTGCCCAAGAACTCTTATCTTCACATTTTCAAAACACAATATTAGGTAGAAATTAACAGAACTCAGTTTATAAAGCATTGTAATTCAGTACAGTAGATAGTTTTATTCGTGTCCTCAAGATTGGCGTTGATGCTGGTATTTTATTCAGTTATTGCAAAATGAAATTTACCAACGTAGAGAGCAAGGAAGTATTGATTTTACATTATTACCTATAATACAATGATTTATAAGTATATTTGCTTTCGTCTTACCAAAAGAAATGTAGCACCTGTAAGAAGAAAAAATAAAGCAACATAAATAAATAAATAAATAAATAACCAAAGGTTAAAATTTAAAAAATGCATTTGTAAACAGCAATGTTCCATTAAAAGGGACTCATGATCTATAAAATATTATTCTGTAAAATGTATGAAGCTGTAAGGAATAGAAATCCAACAGTTAAATGAGAATGACGTAATGAAACAGTTAAATTAGCAAGAGCTTAAAATAACTTCCTTTTATAACTTTTTCTTCAAGACACAAAAGAAGTTATATAGTTATGAAAAGGGAATACCATTTATCTACTTTTTAACATGCTAAAATTTATTGTCCAAAATTAAACCTTTTTGAAGAAATAAGTAGATATAATTTCTTCAAGAGATTTAGCTAGTTAGCTGTCCAAATCACTGTGAAAACATTCTTATAAGTAAAAGATGCTGATTAATCACTCAGTTTTCCTGTGTCCTTGAATTACAGATTTAATACAGGTACTTAATTTGGGGAGGTAAGCAATCCTTATAGACTATAATTATTATCATATTGATTTTGTGCTTGTTTGCACTTTAATAAAAGAACCATATTTAACTAAATATGTCAGGTATGTAAAAAAGTCTAGAAGTGTAATTATTTTACTATATACTGCCCTAGCACATAGAAAAAAAAAAGAACATTTTATTGCAAGTGTCTTTCTATTAAGTTCATGGAAACACTAAGTATATATTATCTGTGAAATTTCAGAGTTCTACTAGTGAAAATATGGTGTTGTCCTGGAGTTAGCTGCCAATTTTTCTAAGGATAAATCCTATATTTAAATATTTATACAATAACATTTTTTTCTTTTTATAACTGAAAATAATTGTTTTCTTTACATAATATATCCTGAATATAGTGTCCTCTTCCTCTACTCTTCCCAATTTCTTGCCACCTCCACTCCCATCCAGATGTGCCTCTCTCTGACTCTCATTCAAAAATAGGCTTTGATGACAAAATAATAATAATACATGACATAATATAATATAAAAGACAAAGCAAAAATGAACACATTGGAGTTAAAAAAAAGTAAACTAAAGGTAAAGAGTGCATGAGAAGGCAGAAGAAACAGACTCACTTTTTGCACATTTAAGATTCTCATACAAACACTAAACTGGAAAGCATAATGAATTAATGGCTTGATGTCTCAAAGTTTCTGTAAGGTAAAACAGAGATGAATAAAATACAAAGAAAAAAAGAAAAAAAATAAAGCAAAGAGAAGACGATACCAAAAATCTTAAAACACAACGAGACAATGAATTTTGAAAGATACCCCTTAATTTGTTTTACTTTGGCCACTTTACTACTGGGCCTACACCCTACCTTTAAGATTTGTTTGTTTCACTATTGAACCTCCTTAGCAAGAAACAGTTACATTTGTCAGTGGTTATCAGTTGGTGATTGCTCCTGTGTTAGGGATGAGAGCATTTGTCCACTTCACCTTTCATCATTAGGACCCCCTCTCATGAAGGTCTGTGCAGTGTCTGTGTAAGCTGCCTTAGTCACTATATAGTCCTATCTGCATAGATTGTGGAGGCCCAAAAATATAATTCTATTCCACTTGTTTGGAGGTCAGAGAGTTTTACCTTGCTCAACGTTGTTGATAAGTGTGGCTACACACACTGACCTAAGGTGTTTTGGAAATTGAGATGGTTCATTCAGGTAGATCCGTTCTGACCAAAGGTCAGAGAATTCAAGCATACTTTTGTTCCTTCTTATGAATTAAGAAGTTTGGTTCTATGGAGTGGCAGCCTTCAGGATACTTGGGCTAGGATGGGTTTACTGCCTAAACAATAGAATGCTTTGCTCATGAATCAATGGCTTGATGTCTCAAAGGATTGAAGCAAGTAACTGTCCTAGTTGTCCTTTGTGTCATGTTAAAGTAGTCATTTGCCTTATTCCTTAATGTTGGACTGGGTTATAAAAGTGTATGAAAATTAAGCATGTGCAACTTCAGTATTCACTGGAACTCCCTCCTGGTACTATCCTATGCTTTCTGTCTTATTATTGTCACTCATGTCTTCATTAGTTTTACTTGTTTTTCTAATCCCCATGACCCTACTCTGGTAAGTGGTACAATTGTCGAAGATGGTCTCTGACAATAGATCATATTAATTTAGAGGGCTTTGCTTCCTTTGAGGTCTTCATGCATTCCTGCTTGTTCCTACACCATTTCTGCCTCCTCCAAAAGTGGTATAGCTAGATACTGAAGTTGATTGATGCTAATCTTCCCGAGGAAATGCCACAGTGACTTTGACAGTGTCTGTACATGTTTGCATATACATCAGTCATGAATAAGTGCTAACTTTACCTCACATCTTTACCAGCACAAGAGTTGTCACTTGTGTTATTGACCTTAGCTATTCTGACAAATATAAAGCGAATTATCTTAGTGGATTTGATTAGCGTTTTGATGATGACTAAGGGTGTTGGAAATTTCATCAAGTGTTTATCTGATTTTTGAGTTGTCTTTTTTTGAGAATTCTCCTTAGATCTGTACTCAACTTTTGATCATGATATTTTTTTATATCTAGTTTCTTGAGCTTTTCAGATAATCTGGATATTAGCCCTGCATTGGTTGTGTTTGGGGGGGTCCTCTTTCTCTCTTGTCTTATTGGTCACCAAGTCAAGAGGGGAAAGAGGAAGAAGGGAGAATAGAAAGCTTTGTATGTGACACATGAGCATGACGATGGGAGGCTTCCAGGAGACAGACTTTGGTGAATCAGCTCAACTTTATTCCAGAGTATAAAGATATATAGGATCAGAGAGCTTGAAGACAAATCATAATTTGTATTAAGTGGCATACTACTATCACAGGGCTTAGTATGTGTTGAAATAGGAGTGGCGGGGCTGCGTCCCCGGCACCCGGCCGCCCGCATGGCTAGCTTATGCCCAGAAATAATTACACGGAAACTGTATTCTTTCAAACACTGCCTGGCCCGACTAGTTCCAGTTTCTTATTGGCTAGCTCTTACATATTGTTCTAACCCATTTCTAATATTCTGTGTAGCCCATGAGCTGGCTTACCAGAGAGGATCTTAACCTGCATCTGTCTGGAGTGGGAGCATCATGGCGACTCCTCCTCTAACCTTCTTTCTCCCAGAATTCTCTTCTGTATACTCCGCCTACCTAATTTTCTATCCAATAAAATGGGCCAAGGCAGTTTCTTTATTAGTAAGAAATCATTCCCACATCATTTCCCCTTTTTCCGTTTAAACAAAAAAGAAAGGCTTTAACTTTAGCATAGTAAAATTACATATAACAAAACAGTTATCAAGTAAGAATTACAGTTACAATATTTATATCTATTTTATCTCTTATCATAACTAAGGAAAACTATAACTATTTATTCTTCAACTCCATCAAAGACTCCAGAAGGATATAATATTATCTAAGTAAACAAGAAATAAGAAAACTCTAGAAATGACAGAGACATCTCGCTGCCTGGACAGTCACCCAAAGTTCCTCTGTACCGTTGGGGCATCCATCTTCGGCCTACAGGCCCATGGTATCCAGATACATTTCCATGAAGCAGGAAATTTTAAAGACAGTTCAGTCACTTTCTGCTGTGTTCTGTAGAATGTCTTGTAGACTCTTTCATGAATCAGGAACCCCGAAAGACCATCTCACCTTTAGGCAAGTTCAGCAGTCCTCTCTCTGAGGGTTCTCTGTGTCCAGTTTATGCAACAGTCCAGGCAAGAGCAGTTTCTTGCCCAAATGACTATCCAACTCCATAAGGATCCTCTTCGATGCCCATCTTCCTCTTGAAGTAGCTGGTGCTGCCAGGAGCAGACGTGTCTCCTTGTCATGAAAAGTCCTAAGTTATTAAAATATTTTAAATGCCATATTCTGCAGTCTTTGAAAGATATGAAGAATGCCTATCTAATTGAAATATATCTCTATATATCTAGAAAATCTAACTAACATGACTACAAGCTTAACTATTAGCAATGATTATCCATTAACAACCTATATTTCCTAATTATACATTACATTTTAAGTGAACTACATAATCACAATACCTTAATCAAGTTCAAAAATACATATACATATAACAAAATTGACCTTAAAATCCATACCAATGCAAATTATTCATATCTATATCATATCCCCCTTTAAATGTAAAAGAACATTTATAAACAATATTTGGGAACATGGGCGTAGTTTTTTCTCTCCAAACTGCTTCCTGCTGAATGGGGGCACTGTTAATCAGATCATTTAGGGTGTAACCTGTGTGTCAGGTTCATCTCGGTTGGCAGTTGAGTGAAGTAATTTTTTGAGGGTGTTCACAGCAACCTTTCAGGAGGGCGTGGTCTATCATACCATACCGGGATAGATGCAATCCATAGGGTCACATCCTCTGTGGAAACAAAAGAAGACCCTCTCCAAAGCATCATATCCTTAGATCCAAATTTTGAAGTCAAGATACCTTTAGAACATATGTGCAGGTTCAGCTTAGCAGCCCATATAATAAAATGTCTCTTTGTACTTAGCTCCTTCACAGTCAAAAATTTTAAAGAAAACACAATGTACATAATCCAGACTCTCTGTGAATTTTTCATTTTTACGTGGCTTATTTTTCTTTATTTCTCTTAATCTATAACTATCTGTACTTCTGTACTCTGTCTCTTTAAAGACTTTACCCTTTTTCTTTTTAAGACATTAACTTTATTCTTTATATTCTCTTTTTTTCCCCAAGCCTACGTACATTCATCCAACGGTGTCTGAATCTGTTTTACTGTGAATCTGTATTTTTTTTTTTATTATCCAGGAGCATTTCTTAAAATGTTAAGCATTTCTTAAAAACTTAAGTTGCACCATGTATAGGTAATACGGTACTGCCTGTGTCCTGCCCAGTCTAAACCTTAACTGCACGGTTTTAAGGTAATTACGGTAGTTCCTGCCTGAGATCAGCACAGTTCAGCAAGGAGCAGCCGCTCCTGCCTCAGAGTCATTTGGTGCTTTTGAGCTGAGCACAGTTACAGGCAAACAGCAGTTTACATTGGAGCCGCAATCAGCAATTTAATTTTGAGACTGAGTGTGCAGCACAGAAACTCTTTTTATCCAAGTTACAGCCAAATCTGACACGCAGAGCACTGCGCAGTCTGAAAACGCGTCTCTGTATGGCAGCAGGAATCCGCCATGCTCTTCCGCCTGCCTAAGCCTGATTCCGCCATCTGCCCAGGTGTAGGCAGGGAACGCTGAGCCATCGGCAGGTCTCAGAGCAATCTCCTCCGATCCCAAGTGGGAACAGAAACATCCAGTCCCATAAAAGCCTTGAAATGCTTTAAAGCCAGAGTTCACGCTGGCAGCATAGCACCAGGAAGCCGCGCTTTAAAATGACGCAGCTTTTTTTCTCTGCTGCTGTTGCTGAATCAGGAATCTCTCTACAGCATGTCACCAACAAAACAGCAAAAATCTGTGTTAAACTCTGTTTCCCTTATTTTTAAGCCTTCTCAGGTTTTTAAGTGGATTTAGCCCCACGTTGGGCGCCATCTGTTGAAATAGGAGCGGCAGGGCTGCGTCCCCGGCACCCGGCCGCCCGCATGGCTAGTTTATACCCAGAAATAATTACACGGAAACTGTATTCTTTCAAACACTGCCTGGCCCGGCTAGGTCCAGTTTCTTATTGGCTAGCTCTTACATATTGTTCTAACCCATTTCTAATATTCTGTGTAGCCCATGAGCTGGCTTACCAGAGAGGATCTTAACCTGCGTCTGTCTGGAGTGGAAGCATCATGGCGACTCTTCCTCTAACCTTCTTTCTCCCAGAATTCTCTTCTGTATACTCCGCCTACCTAATTTTCTATCCAATAAAATGGGCCAAGGCAGTTTCTTTATTAGTAAGAAATCATTCCCACATCAAGTATGCATCACCAGGGTCCTATAACAGAGCTCCAAGTACAAATCTTATTTGCAGGGATATATGTCAAGGGTCAAGCTGTTTAGAGACAGCCTTCAGGCAAGATTAGTCCTTCATGTCCAGAAACATTCTTCATATATGGAAAAGTAGAGGACAGGAAGCTGGAGTGCGAAAGGAATGGACTCCGTGTTGCTGAGATGTTGAGATAAACTGCTGGGCTATGACAGAAGGCAACAACCAGACAGCTACATATTCCAACAGTTGTGTAGTTGGTAAAAATCTTTTTCCATTCA